ACTACCACCATTATCACCACCACCATCATTATCACCACCACCATCATCACCACCACCATCAACACTACTACCACTACCATTAACACTACACCATCATCACCACCACCACCATCACCACTACCACCACTACCATTGACACTACCACCATCATCACCATCACCAACATCACTACTACCACCATCATTAACACTACCACCATTATCACCACCACCATCATTATCACCACCACCATCATCACCACCACTATCAACACTACTACCACTACCATTAACACTACACCATCATCACCACCACCACCATCACCACTACCACCACTACCATTAACACTACCACCACTACCATTAACACTACCACCATCACCAGCACCAACATGATCACCACCACCACCAACATAATCACCATCACTAACACCACCACCATTGTCATCACCACCAACACCATCACTACCATCAACACCTCTTCATCCTCATCACCATCGCCACTGAGTCAGATCTAGTCTGGGTTGCACTGGAGAGCAAAGCGGACCCCTGCAGCTGACACTGAAGCCAGAAAGCTTCCCAGAGAGACTGAGTGGGCTGGGCATCTGCCCCAGAGAGAGCCAAATGGCTGTTGGTCATCAAGAAGTAGAGCTGGAAGGGCTGGAAATGGGGTTGAGTCAGGACTAGGGAGTAGCAGCAGCAGGCAAGAGTCTATCCAGGGCAGCCATCAAGCTGGCTAGGAGAAAGAGGGACTAGGGAGTCTAAGGAGTGAGAAGGCAGCTGGCAGCTGTCCGAATAGAATGTCAAAGAGGGAAAGAGGACAGCCCCTACGGGAGCCTGCTCATGAGGTGAAAAGCAGGACAGGAGTCAGTGGGGTCCAGCAGGCAGGCAAGCCTAGCCCAGTTAAACGAACATTGCCATGACACCGTCACAGCATCCCACTCTCTTGCACAGCCACAGCCACCATCACCATGACAACCAGCCTCAACACCATCTTCCCCACAGCCATAGACACTCTCACATCCCCTGATGGTCACCACCACTACCGAAGCAGAGATTGCTGCTGTCCATCAGCAGGCACTGTCCCCTGCCTCCTTCAGTGACGGAGCTCCCAAGGTTACCTGGGCATAGGGGTGCTGTTACAGGTTAGCTTCCCCTGCAAGCAGACTCCTCAGTGGCACAGGGGGAAGAAGGAAGGACTGCATCTGCCCACGTGCTTCAAAGCTTCTTGACACTTGTGAATATCCTCCCACTTCTGTGCACGAAGGTCTGGTTCGCATTAGCACCCCAGGCCCCAAGGTGGTAGGATGCAGGGCTTGGGCTCCAACCAAAAAGTGTCAGACTCCACTGGGGCCGGTCTAACTACTTACTTAACATGGAACATCAAATGGTTTGATCTGCCGATTAGGCTCACCCAGAGCTGCTAACTGGAAGCAGATGGGCCTGTCGGTTATTATATGGACAACTTGCATTTCCCACTTCCCTATAGAAGGGGAAGGCAGTGCCCTGCCCTCCTCCTCTCGCCCACCCTGCATACCCCACAGACAGCAGTGTGTCTGAGGGTCTCCTAGGGAAGCCCAGCGTGGGAGATTTGAAGCCCAGGAAGAACGGGCCTTATCTCCTGTCTTGGAGGATGAGAGGGAATGGTTGCTTCTGGGTGGGCCTGGATGGGCATCTGCCCAAGGGGTCCCAAATTCTCAGAGCATCTACAAGCTCCTGCCAGGTTTCTCCAGTGTTCATGGGCCTGCCCAGGGAGATGGATATGGTTTGGATCCGTGTCCCCCACCGCTGCCCAAATCTCATGTTGAAGTGTTATCCTCAGTGTTGGAAGTGGGGCCTGGGGGGAAGTGACTGGATCACAGAGGCAGATTTCTCATGAATTATTTAGTGCCACACCCTTGGTGCTCTCCTCGAGATAGTGAGTGAGTTCTCAAGAGATCTGGTCATTTAAAAGTGCGTGGCACCTCCCCACTCTCTCTCTGCCCCTGCCCCCACCCTGTGAGATGCCTCGCTCCCCCTTTGCCTCCTGCCATGCGTGATTGGAAGCTTTCTGAGGGCTCCCCAGAAGCAGAAGCTGCTATGCTTCGTATTCAGCCTGCAGAACTGTGAACAAATTAAACCTCTTTTCTTTATAAATTACCCAGTCTCAGGTATTTCTTTGTAGCAGTGAAAGAATAAACTCACAGAGATCTTTATAAACCAGACCAGCACAGGCCACTGGACTGGATCCCAGTCCTGCATTGAGGCAGGGACATGGTAGGAATGACTTCAGGGTGTCACTCTTGGGTGGCACAAACACAGTCCCCCAAAACACCCAAAAGCCTTCTCAGCTAACCGCTGCCCAGACAAGGACCTGCCCACCCCATCTCACTCCCACGGCCAGCCAGTCACCGAAACTACCAAGACCACTGATGTGGCACAGCCGCCACTGGCCAGTGCCAGGCCACCATCCTCACTCACCTGGGTCCAGTGGCAGACTCCAAGGGGTCTCCATGCCTCCTCCCTCAGACCCCTTGAGCCCACTTCCCACATCGCCATCTCCTCTTTCCAAAACACCTTCAAGATTCTACCCTAGGAAAAAGTCCAGATTCCTTAGAATCAGTGCAGCTAACAGGCGGGGAGTTCTTATGCGCATGCCAGGCATCCCTGCTGGGAGCTCCCCAGTAGCCCTGGGAGGGTGGTGCTGGCATCACACAGAAGGGAAGGGCAGCACAGAACACCCCATCACACAGAAGAGAAGGGCAGCACAGAGGGGTGAGGGCCCCAGCCAGAGCAGCACAGCCTGGCAGTCTGACAGTCTCTCTCTCTCTCTCTATCTATCTCTCTATCTCTGTCTCTCCCCCTTTCTCCCTTCTCTTATTTCCTCTGAGTTGCTCCCTTTGTCTTTGATATGGTTTGGCTGTGTCCCTACCCAAATCTTATCTTGAATTATAACCCCCATAATCCCCAAGTGGCATGGGAAGGACCCAGTGAGAGGTAAGTGAATCATGGGGAGAAGTTTTCCTCATACTGTTCTCATCATGGTGAATAAGTCTCTCGAGATCTGATGGTTTTATAAAGGCCAGTTCCTCTTGCTTGCCACCGTGTAAGACGTGCCTTTGCTCCTCCTTCACCTTCCGCCATGATCATGAGGCCTCCCCAGCCATGTGGAACTGTGAGTCTGTTAAATCTCTTTTCTTTATAAATTACCTAGTCTCACGTATGTCCTTGTAGCAGCATGAAAACAGACTAATGCACTCTCCTTCCCTTTTTTCTCACTCCTTCATCCTCCTTCCCTTCCTCTCTCCCACCTCTCTCCTCTCTCTACTCCTCTCTTTCTCTTTTTTCTCTCTTCTCTCCCTCTTCCGTTCTATACCCCCCTCCCTTTTCTGTCTGCCCCTCCATCTCCCTCCCTCCTTCTCCCCTCTCTTTCCCCACTCTCTTTCCCTCTATTTGCCCCTACCCTCTCCCTCTCCCCCTCTCTCTCCTTGTCTCCCTGTCTTCCCCTCCCCTAGTTCACCCACTTTCTCTCCAGCTCCAGCTTCACTAGCCCTCACTCTGTTTTTCTGGCCTTCTGGGTCTCCCTGCACTGGGCTCTTGCCCAAGTTGCTCCTGTCTGGTGCACCCCTGGTGATGCCCTCCCTTGCTTGGCTCACAGTGATCCATTCTTCAGGCCTCTGCTTGACACCTGAATGCTCAGGGAGCCTTTCTCCACCTCCCAAGGCAAGAAGCACTCTCTTGGTGTCTCTGTAGCACCATAAGCCACCCCATCACAGATGATCGCATGGTGTTGTGAGCATCTGCCTGGTCTCCTGAGTCCTCCACTAGAATGTGAGCTGCTTGGGAACAGGAACTATGCTCCTGGGTGCTGTACTCTCAGTGCTACACAGGGCCTGACTCCTTAGTAGTGCTCAATAGCCATGTGCTAAGTGAATGAGTGAATGAGAAAGAATGAATGAGTGAATGAGGTATTGGCTTCCAAACCTCCCCTTGCTCACAGACTCACCCTGTCCATTACCTTCCCTACTTCCTGGCATACTGCAAGTTCTCCTGGCTTCTAACCTCATGATCCATTAAAGTTCTGTTTCATTCATTCATTCACTCATTCTTTCTTTCAAACAGCACCTACTGGCCGGGCGTGGTGGCTCACACCTGCAATCCCAGCACCCTGGGAGGCCGAGGTCAGGAGTTCAAGACCAGCCTGGCCAACATGGCGAAACCCTGTCTCTACTAAAAATACAAAACTTAGCCTGGCATGGTGGCACACACCTGTAATCCCAGCTACTCAGGAGGCTGAGGCAGGAGAATTGCTCCAACCCAGGAGGCAGAGATTGCAGTGAGCCAAGATCATACCAATGCTCTCCAGCCTGGGCAATAGAATGAGACTCTGTCTCAAAAAAAAAAAAAAAAAAAACCACCCAGCACCTACTGAGCACCTTTCTGTGCCAAGTGCTCTTCCAGCTTCTTGAGACACATCTGCGAACCAAACGGACAAAACTCGCTGCCTTCAGGGAGTTTGCCATATATTGGGAGAGATCAAGACAGAAAGTGAACCATACAATGTGTTTGAAAGCGGAAAAGTGTTAAGGAAATGAGTGAAGCAGAAAGAGAAAATAAATGAGGGAGCAAGCCATGTGCCTATCTGGGGAAGAGGATTTCAAGAAGAGAGAATGGCTAGTGGAAAGGCCCTGGGGCAGAATCATGGCATCTTCAGGGATGGTGAGGAGGCCAGTGTGGCTGCAGACGGGTGTGGGAGGCAAGAGGAGGCCGCAGAGAGGTCACAGAGGTAGAGGGGAGCCTGTGGGTCTGACACACACTTCAGGATTTTGGATCTTCAGGTCAGTGAGTTGGGGAGCCTTGGGGAGTGCAGAGTAGAGAAGGAACATGAACGAATTCAGAGTTTTAAAAGTCCACTCCCGACTCTAGAGAGCAAGGGTGAAGCCAGAGATGGCAATTTGGGCTTAACTAGGTTTAAGGTATATTTTGAAGGTAGAGCAGATAGTTTTGCTGATGCTGTTAACAGAAAAACCAGACTCTGTCAAATATCGTAAAGAGGTTTATTCTGAGCCAATATGAATGACCACAGCCTGGGAACACGCAGTTACAAGGAGTCCTGAGGAAGTGTCTCCGAGGCGGTCGGATTACAGTTTGGTTTTACACATTTCAGGGATGCTGGGGTTACAAGCAAAGCGATACATCAGTACATGGAAGGTATACATTGATTTGGCCCCAAAAGGCAGAATATCTTGAAGTGGGGGCTTATCATAGGTAGATTCAGAGATTCTTTAATCCACAATTGGTAAAAGGAAGAAAACTTTGTCTAAAAAGTTTGAGTTAGCAGAAAGGAATGTTTAAGTTAAGATAAAGATGCTGTAGGCCAGGCGTGGTGGTTCACGCCTGTAATCCTGGCATTTTGGGAGGCCGAAGTGAGCAGATCACTTGAGGTCAGGAGTTCAAAACCAGCCTGGCCAAGATAGAGAAACCCCGTCTCTACTGAAAATACAAAAAATCAGCTGGGTATAGTGGTGCATGCCTGTAATCCCAGCTACTTGGGAGGCTGAGGCAGGAGAATTGCTTGAACCCAGGAGGCGGAGGTTGTGGTGAGTTAAGGTTGTGATGAGCTGAGATCACGCCATTGCACTCCAGCCTGAGAAACAAGAGGAAAACTCTGTCTCAAAAAAAAAAAAAAAGATGAGGATGCTGTATCAGAGTCAGCCACGCTATGGCCTGTTGAGTGAGATCAATGGCCTGCAGGCTGACCTAGCCCTTCCCTGTCACGCCTTTAGGTCTTGCTTATAACTTGGTATCCTACTGCCACAACGGGTGTTTTGTCTGTCTTATGTATGACGTTGATTTTACCATGAATGCTGGTCAGTGGTGCCTAAACCCCAAAACAGAAGGGATGTAACGAGGCATCTGACTTCCCTTCGCCTCATGGCCTAGAACCCAGTTTTTAAGGTTCCCCTGGTCCCCTTGGCCAAGAGGGGGTCCTTTCAGCCAATGGAGGACTTGGGATTTTATTTTTAGTTTACCATAAGGTATGGGATGGGAGAGAAACGGAGTGAAGAATGACTCTGAGGTTTCTGGTCTGAATAATGGAAAGGCCACCCATGAGTTCTGACCACACCCTCCTCCTTATCTGTGAGGCTCAGCTCCAACCTCTGCATTCCCCTTGTCATTCTCTCCGTCGCCCTCTGCAGCCACTGGAGGAAATGCCAGCACATTTCACCTGGCCTGGAGCCAGGCCGCCAGGTCCCCAAAAAGGACACTCCCACCAGGTCAGTGCCAGCTCTGCAAATGGCCCCAGATATTGCCCTGCCCAGCCAACAAGTGCTCAAGGCTTCAAGCAGCAATGCGTTGCAGGTGACCACAACAGGTGAGAAAAGAGCTTCACAGAGAACACGGCTGACCCTCTCCTGCATGAAGTCCCAGACCAGAAAGACAGCAGCCAAGTCCCAGGCATTAGGACCAACAGGGATGAAACTCAAGAGGCTATAGGAGCAGAGAATCCCCTCCTCCCTAAAGCAGGAAAGTCTCCCCAGGGGAGGAGGCATTTGACCCCAGCCCTGAAGGATAAATGTAAGTTTCCCATAGGACAATCAAGAAGGAACATTTTGAGCAAAGGTGTGAAACCAGGAGCATGTTTGGGGATAGTCAGGAGTCCACTGGAGCCACTGGGAGATGAGGCTGGGAAGGTGAGCAGGATTCAGATTTTATGAGGCTTTCCACGGCACACAAAGGAGGTCAGGCATGACCATCCAGGAAGCCCTCACTCAATGCTGTTGTGGATAAGCTTTTGGAAACTGCGACTTTAAATGAAAGGACTTACAGCAGGTCATCAGATAATGTTGTTTTGTTATAATATTGATGAGAACAAAATATTGGTTTTATTATATGCCTTGTCTTTGTGTTGAAAGTCACAGTTTCCAAGAATGTACAACAACGTTAAGTGAGGACGTACTGCCCAAGCACTGGGGAGCCATAGGTTTCTGAGGCAGGCGGGCTCCTGACGGCGACTGTTTAGAAGACATTACTCAGGTGGCCAGAGACTGTGGATCTGGGCAGGAATGTAAGGGCCAAAGAGGAAAGATCGAAAGGTGATCAAAGAGAGACACTTGCAAATCAGAGTGTGCCCAGAGGAGAGGACCAGGATGGTGGCCAAAATCAGGTCCTCAGAGCACCTGGGGACCTTCAGACCAAAGAAGAGGTGACCTGAGAACACAATTGCTGTAACCTCTCCCAATTTCCCCTTGAGCCCAAATCCCAGCTCCCTGACTTAAGAGCTGGATGGCCCTAGGCAACTTAATCAGCATCTCTGAGCTTCAGTTTCCTTTACAGTAGTACAGGGATGCTTTGGGTGGCAGAGGACAGAAAATCCAACTCAAGTTATCTTAAGCAATAAGGGATATTAACTGACTCAGGAAATGCAAGGTTTCAGAGACAGGGCTGCCATCAGGTGAGATCCAATCGCTCATAAAGAGTTTCAAGGGCTGAGTTTTTCCATCTTTCCTCTTTGCCTTCTATAAGTTCCAGCTTTCCCCTGAGGCTGACTTGCCTTGCGATCCCACAGGAACTGCCCCCAGCTCTTGGGTCTAGGGCCTTGCAAGTTCCTATAGAAAGCAGCTTGGTTCTAGCCAAAGTTCTAAGAGTCTCTCTGATTGGACAAACCAAGGTCATGTGTCCACCTCTGAGCCAATCACTGCAGACTGGGAAGAACAGCGCTGATTGACTTGGCCTGCTGCACCCCTTGGAGCCAGGAGATGAACTCCTCTAACTTGGAACCATACAGGGACTGCTGGGCAGAGCAGAAGGATGGGGTCTGGGAGGCACTGGCCCATGTCCACCAACGTCACTGGTACCCATGGGGCGTGGTCACTGTGGGGACTGGAGATAATGTGTGAAAAGTACCTGGCACACAGTAGGTGCTCCTTGAAAAGCAATTCTTTTTGTTATTGTATGTAAAAGACATCATGAGAAAGAGGAATTCAATTTTCTGGGAAAGGAGATAAGATCTTGCTCTGTCATTCAGGCTGGAATGCAGTGGCACAATCATTGCTCACTGTAGCCTCTAACTCCTGCACTCAAGAGATCCTCCTGCCTCAGCTTCTTAAGTAACTGGGACTACAGGCACGCACCACCATGCCCAGCTAATTTTTATTTTTGTAGAGATGGGGTCTTGCTACATTGCCCAGGCTGATCTCAAACTCCTGGCCTCAAGCAATCTTCCTACATTGGCTTCCCAAACTGCTGAGATTACAGGCATGAGCCACCATGCTTAGGCTAGAAATTAGATTTAATTCACGATCCCAAAGGATGAAACTAGTGTCCATAAACAGAAATCCCAGGGAGTCAGGTTTTGATTCAAGCTAAGAAGAAGTTTCTGATAACTAGAGTTGTCCTCGGTGAGGCTCCCGTCACTGGAGGGAACGCTAAAGGCTCAAGATCCCAGCCTCAGGGCTGCTCTAGGAGGTGTGGAGCAGAGGCCCTCTGAGGTCAGTGGGATTCCAGGATTCTCTTCGCTCATGGTGGTCCAAGAGGCAGAACCAAGAAATGAGGTGATTATCTCTTTAAAAAAATATTAAAGCAATGCATCAGAAGCATGCAAGAAAAGAGAATTAACAGCTTAAAACTCCCTGAGCCTCTGACAATCTGGTCCCAAGGGCAAGGGGGATGGGATACAGCCGCACCCAGGGACGGATCATGCAGGGTGGCTCCCCGAAAGCTTGGGACTGGAGTGGGCCTCAGTCAAGGCTCTGGGCTCCCCTGGGAAGTGAGTGGAGGAGACAGAGAGGAACATTCTAGAAAGACCTTGACCATCTATACCTTGACCATCTATCCTTGGGGTCTGTGCCCAGCAGTCTCCAGCCCACAAGGCCAGGCCAGCACTGGGGACTGTGGGAAGAGGACCGAGCCGCAGAGGACCCTGGTCACAGTGGCCAGACAGGGGCAGGATGGCATCCCAGGTGACCCAGGGGAGGGATAAACCAGCACGTGCACAGGATGCTGGGAGTAGCCACCCAGGGAGGACAAGGTCCAGACACCAGACACCCAGGGCCAGACCCCCCTGCATCTGGCCCTAGCCGTCCTTTGAAGCTGAGTTCTCACAGCCTGGCCACTCTCGGCCACATGCTCCTCCTGGAACTGCCTGGGCTTCCTTCCATCCCGCCTTTCCTCCTGCTGGCCCCACCTGTCCCTCCCCCACATATCCAAACTTCCAGCCTTCCAACACTTCCGTGTCTTTCAAGGCTCTTTCCAAATGCTAGCTTCTCCCAAAGACTTCCCTGGTCACTGCACCCACCAGCCACCTCCTTAACATCTGAATCCCCTGCCATAGCACAGCTCCTTGACAAGGGAGCCCGAGCCTTCCCCCATGCACTGCAGTGGGGACAGCTTCCCAGGCCAGGCCACCCGGATATCACCCCATAAAGGACAGTGGCTCCGGGAGTGGGCTCTGGGGAGAGGAAGGGGGTGCTCAGACAAGCTTTGTGACTCTGGGTAAGCTCTATGACTTCTTTGAGTTCTTCCCCCGCCTTCGGCCCACCATCTATAAAATAAGGAGCATAATTGCACATATCCAATAGAGTTTTGCGAGGAGTATGTGGACTCAGTAGTAAAATTCTTAGCCAGGGACATGGCAACAAATGTAAGCTGTTGTCCACATCGAAGTCAATGTGGCGGCCTAAAGTCACACAGCCTGGAAGTGGCACTACTGGGATTGAGACTGAGGTCTGATTCCACATGTTCTTTCTCAAGGGACTTCTGAAAACGGGAAGGAAGCGCATTCATTTCACCCAAGGGAGGTTTATTCACAAGCATTTGGGAAGCATGCTATGCGTGGCCAGCCCTGCGAGATAACCCAGGGATCTGGGCCCGAGCTCTTCAGGAATAAGGAAAGGGAACCGACACGTGAGACAGCTGGCGAATGGAGCCACGGCTGCACTATCCGAGCTCACGGGCTGACCGGCAGGCCCCACCAGCCCACACCAACCCCCCCCCCAGCCCAGCCCAGCGCCCCACAGGGCTTCCCTTGGCCTTGAACTTGAGTGAAGGGAATGAGCTGCAACCCACAGATGCCCACTGTGACCGCCAGATGGCAGCTGTAGGCTGCTAAATCAGACTGTCCTTGAAAACCAATAGGTCACCTTGGGTGGTTTTTTTCTAGAAGAAGGTGGCAGTGCCTGGCAATTAAAATTGGTCAAGGGAAAGGAACTAAGTGGATGTTTTAAGGCATCCATCACTAAGTGGGCAAAAATGGCCCTGATGCAGAGAACCTCCAGAAACTGCTAAGTTAGAAACCAGGGCAAGGTGGGAAAAGTTGGGGATGGCTTCCCTGCCTCCCTCTGGAGTTGAACCAGCAAGACCCCCAGCTTCCGCCTCCCAATGCCGAGGCCCTCCCTCCTGGACGCCCCTGGGAGGCACTAGTCCCGCCTCATGGTGTAACCCTGGATCATGCTGTTGAAGTAGGCTGGTGTGTTGCGCTCCGGGTAGAAGAGGATCATGTAGCACTTGGGGCCGAAGTAGCCCAGACTGATTGCCAGGAGGTTGAACACGGTGACCAAGAGGTCCACGATGGTGACCAGCACTCCATCGTAGACAGACATGAAGGTGCAGAGGGAGACGGACGAGGTGAAATAGAAGGTCATGCTGAAGGTGATGAACTTGGCCTCGTTGTAGTTGGTGGGCAGCTCCTTGCCCATGTAGGCGAAGCTGAATCCCACCACTGAGAGCAGCAGGTCCAGGCTGGTGTTGAACAGCAGACTGTTGCGGTAGTTGGGGTTGCAGGAAATGATCATGATCTTGGGGTCATCGGTGTCAGCGCGGGTGGTGGGGTTGAGGCCCGTAGCCAGCAAACTGATCACCACAGTGACCACCTTGAGTGCCGTGATAAATGCCACAGAGACGTAGGAACCCTGGTAGCGGACCCAGTAGCTATAGGCGCGCGGGAAGCGGCTGGCCATCTTGAAGACGCAGACGATCTGGAAGGAGCGCATGGTGATGCAGGAGATGCAGATGGTGAAGCAGACGGGGAAGAGGGCCTGGCGACAGAGGCAGGTGGTGACCTTGGGCGGCCCCACGTACACCGGGACCACCATGTACGCCACCAGCAGCAGTGTCAGCATCAGGAAGCACATCGGGCCTCCAGCCGAGCGAACCATGGGCGTATGGAAGTGCCTCCAGAATATCACCAGGATGGCCAGCGTGCTGAGGAAGCCCAGGGCGGCCAGCAGGGCCACAGCAATGGTGGGTGCCTCGTGCCATTCCAGGAAAGACAGCCGCCGCTTGAAGCAGGAGGTCTCACTCTGGTGGGACCACTCGTTACTCAGGCAGGCCTGGCAATCATATTCATCTGCAAAAGCCCACAGCGACTCCCATTAGCCAAGCCCATCTTCCAAGCACCTGCATCCTCCCAGTCCTGCACAGACCCAGGCCCCAAGGATGGAGAGAGAGCGCCAGGGGAGAGAGTACCAGGGGCAACCCTGGCATTCACAGCAAATGCTCCTCGAGTCTCTTATGTGCATTGGCTCATCAAATCCTCACACAACCACACTTCACCAATGAGGAAACAAGGCTTAATTAGGTGAACTAATTTGCCCAAAGTCACAAAGCCAGTAAATCAGAGAGGCAGGATTTGAACCCAGGTCTTATTGACCCAGAGCCCATTACCTATAGTTCCTCCCTTCCAAGACCTCACCCTCTGGTGTGAGAGGCATTTAACCACTTACTCAAAGAATGCATTCAATACGTGTTTTTCTGAGCACCATCCATTATATTAGGCACCTGGGGTGGAAGTCCACAGAGAGATGGATAAAACCCAGCCCTTGCCTCCCAGCTATTGACTGACTGAGAGGAGGGCCAATGAAATCATTCCACAAACTTGCTCACCACCTCCTCTGTGCTCTGTGGTCTGCTAGACACATAGTAAATACTTGGTAAATGTCATCATCTGTTTAGTTTACACTAGTGAAGTCATAAAAAAACTGAGCTCCAACTCTGAACTGTGCCAAACACTAACGTGGACAGAAATGACGTTGTCTGTACCTTCCTAGAGTGTTCTATGAGGAGAAATGATCTTCTCATCAAGGAAGTCATTCGACAAGCACCCGCTGAGCAACCGTGCTGTGCTGTGCACTATGCTAGGCACTTGGGAAGCCAGAGGGATAAATGAGTTAGTGTCTTCCCTGTCTGCCAGAAACTTTCCTCCTATTGCAAGCACCATTCATCCATTCATTCATTCATCATCCACTGGATGTTCCCTGGCCTGACTCCCTGGGCCCTGGGCTGCATGTGTGCGGAATGCACTCAGCTGCAGCCTTGCTTGGGGCAATGTTGTTCCTTCTCCCTCTCTCTCTGAAGCAGCCTGTGTGGAGGATTTCACTCTATGCCAGGTTTTGGGAGGATGTAAGAGGAATCAGATATGGCCTTTGGACACTCACACCCCCCTGAGAGAGACTCCAGAGACTCCAGGAGTGGGGCAGGAGCGGGGCAGGGGCAGGGCAGGAGTGCTAGGCCTCCAATCATACTTGCAGTCTGATTGAGGAAGGTGCCGGGAAGGCAGTCAATGCACTCGAAACAGCAGGTGTGGATGCCCACGGGCTTCTTCTTCTGCCCTGACTGGCACCTCTTGGAACACATGGACACAGGGATCTGGAGGGAGGAGGGCAGAAGACCTTGAGTCCTCTTTTCCCACATTCTGGGGTCCTCCTCTCTGCAACCAGGAGCACGTTCAGGGGAGAAAGCCTAATCCCTGCCTGGGAGGGGAAAAGGGGCTGGAAATGCCGCTAGAACCAGACCTTTGTAAAGACTCTTAGTTTTGCCTGCCCAAGACTTAATCCACCTTCCTCTGGTAATAGTACCCCACTGTTGAGTCAAAGATTTTCTGAGGTTGCTGGGAGTCTAGAGGAAACCCTGGGGCTGCTGCAGCTATCTTGTCATGAAAAAGACAACATGGCCAAGGAAGGATCTGAGAGATGGAGAGAGTGAGACCCTGGATCCATCTGTGCCTGAAGCCTCACTGTCTACCTGTAGAGTTTTCAGTTATATGAAGCAATAAATTAACTCCTACTGATCATTCCTCATTTGTTTGTTTTTTGAGACGGAGTCTTGCTTTGTCACTTAGTTGGAGTACAGTGGCACAATCTTGGCTCACTGCAGGTTCAAGCAATTCTCCTACCTCAGCCTCCCAAGTGGTTGGGATGATAGGTGCATGCCATCACACTCAGCTAATTTTTTGTTGTTGTTGTTGTTGTTGTTGTTGTTGTATTTTTAGTAGAGACAGCGTTTCGCTCTGTTGGCCCAGCTGGTCTCAAAGTCCTGACATCAGGTGGTCCACCCACCTCGGTGATCCACAGGCCTCCCGAAGTGCTGGGATTACAGGCATGAGCCACTGCACTGACCCTGATCATTACTGTTAATGATAATTGCTTACATCATTTTCTGTCACTTGCAACCAATACTTAATTCATACAGCCTTTCTGGAAGGGCAGAGACTTTTCTCATTCAGGTGAACAAGAGCAGGCAGGCAGCAATCCTATCTATTGCTTTTACTTCTTTATTTCCAGAACATAGAAGAGGACCCAGCACAAAGGAGGCCTGCAATCATGGCGTATTAAACAAATGAATGAATTACATGGAGAGGAAATGATAAAAGCAATGGGAAGAGGGTGGAGGAGGATGGCACAATTGGAAAGATGGAGGATCTGGGCCCGGCTAGAGTCAGGATGCATGGGGAGGTGGTGGGAAAGCCACATTCCAAAAGCCCCTCTATGGCACACTAACAACGCCAGGGCAGTGGGAGGGAACCACAGCTCTCCAGCTGGCAAGTGGCCTTGTAAGATTTGGGTTTTATAAAAATCGTTCTGAGGACCCATTAGGTGAGTGTTGCATGAGCACACATAAGAAGGGCCAAGGGCCCAGCTGAGGGCAGTGCCTAAGCCCTGTCTCTGGCCCCTCTAAGGTCCTCTGCTTTCAGGTTCCTCCCTGTAGTCCCTCTTGTCCGCATCCATCAGGGGTGTTTCCAGATGTCACATTCCCCTCTCTGAAACTTCTTCATAGAAGAACCTCCATGACTTTCCATCGGCCAGAATAAAGCATCTTATCCTCTGCCAGGCTTTCTAGGCCCTGGTCTTCTCTGCTGTGTGTGTGATTACACACATGTGCAGGAAGGTGCACACCAATACACACACACACACACACACACACACACATCCCTTATCCAGACCTGCTTCCCACCACTCCCTTGCCAGATATCCTGTCTGCCACCTTTCCCTAAATCATCAAATTAATCCTACCTTATGTCCCTGGAATCTCATCCTGCTGTTCATTCATTCAAAAAGTTATTGGGCACATATAGTGCCAGGCACTAGGAACATAGCAGTGAACCAAAGGAGGCAGAGTCGCGTTTCAAAGGAATTAGTATTTTCATGGGGAAAGAGAGATGATGACAAACGTATAAATACATGATGTGATGGATGGTGAGAAATACTGCTAAGAAAAATAAAGCAGTACAGAAACGGTGGACAATGCTGTGGAAGTGGATCGCACTTTCAACTGGGGTGGGCAAGAAAGGCCTTGCTGAGCAGGTGATGTTGGAGGAGAGACCTAAGGCTGGAAGGGAGTACATCATAAAGATATCTCTCCAGGCAGAGGGAACAGCATGTGTAAGAAACTTGGTACAGTTGAGGAAGAGCCAGGCCAGTGGGGTTTGGGATGGGCAAAAGGGAGTGGGGCAGGTCAGCTCAAAGAGGTGGAGTCAAAATACTCTGGTGTTTGCTCTGAGTACATGAGAAGCTACTGGAGGATTCCAGGCAGAGGAGTGAAAGGATCTGACTTCATTTTAACAGCATCACCTTATTTTCTGTGTTGAGTATAGACTGCAAGATACAAAGGCAGAAGCAAGAGATGAGGTAAGATGTTATTTATTTCCCCAGGTGAGACATGGCCATGGTTCTGACTAAAGAGATAGCAATGGAGGTGAGAAGCAGTCAGATTCTGGATGTAATCTGGAAGTAGACTGGATGAGATTTCCTGCTGGATTGGATGAGGAAGGAAGGAGTCAAGGATGATGCCAGTGTTTTTGGTTTAAACAAGGGTGTTGCCTTCTGTTGATATGGGAGGACCTTGGGGAGCAGGTTTGAGTAGGCAAATGAATATGTAAATCGAACTTTAGGGGAGAAGTCCAGTATGAAGATACAGAACTGAGAATTATAAATATGTGGATAATATTTCATGTCAAGTAGACAGAGAAGAGGATAAATCTAATGTCTGAGCCATGGCATCCTCCAAGGTTGAAAATAAGGAAGTGAGGGGGAAATGGAAAAGGAGATTTAGGAGTGGTCATGGGTGTGGGAGAACATAAAGAATGGCTCAAAGTCCACTTCTCTTTGTGTCCAAAGAGAAGTGATCCGTTGTGTCAAATGTTATTTATTTAGGGTAGCCACCATGGAAACTACTGGACTGGCAACACACAGACACTGGTGACCTTGACAGAAGCAATTTCAGAAGAGTATTGTGGATAAAAGCCTCCTTGGAGTGGGTGCAGAGAGATCAGGGGACTGCCAGTTTCCAGTCTAGCACGTAAGGAGCTTGGAAATCATCACTCTCATCCTCAAAACAACCAAAAAGCTGAACAAACTGAAAATTAACAATTCTTCTTAGATCCATCATGGAATCAGGGTCACAGAGAAAACTGCAGCCCCCAAAACTAGAGAGTGAGGTGGATACAGAAAGTGTTCAGAATACATGACTCTAGGGCACTAGGAGTAGAAAATGCCACTGAAGATAACAAATGGTAAGAAAACTGAAAGAGAAAATGACTAACTGCTGGAGACTAAGTGTGGACTAGCTTAGAGACAAACATTTCTGGGGCATAGCCTTAGGGGTGCCCCTAATATTGTCATAAGTTTAACCTCCAGGAGCCCCATAGGTTTTGTGGTGGGGGGAAATTGTAGAAAAAATAAAAACCTCATGCTTCTAGCAGGGATATAAGGAAAGGAGCCATTTTGAAATATGCTCAGAGCATTCTGGTCTCCTTAACAAGCCTTTCCTCAAGGGAAACTATTTTACCAGAACCCAACTGATACGAATTTTACCAGAACTTAACTGACATGGGAAAAGAGAAATTCCCAACTCCAGCCCTCTCTAGCCTTCTTGTCTTACCTAAGGGGGTGTGGTGAGAAGCACTTATGAAGGCCACAGTTCTGGGGCACAGGCTCACTAAAAAAGATTGAGACCTAATCATAGGATTACACAGCACTTCCCCTCTACCTTAACACCACATCAATCAAGGGATACAGCTGAAAGAACTGCAAGGCTCAGAGTGCATTTAAGAAGGAATATCTAGGGAAACCCAAAGATGAAATGGGAAACAAAAAAGGACACTAGAGAAAATTTTGGCCTCTGACACCATTGCTATTTATTTATAGCAAATAGTAAATATAATTTAACTCCAAATAAACATAAAATCTCATACTAAAAATTTATTTACCTCAATTTCTTTTACCCAATACATCATGTCTGGCTTTCAGCAAAAACTTAAAAGCCATGCTAAAAGGCAAAAAAAATATAGTCTGAAGAGACAAAATAAGCATCAGAACCAGATTCAGATATGGCAGATATGTTGGAATTATCCAATGGGAAATTTTAAATAACTGATTAATTTTCTAAGGGCTCTAACTGAAAAAAGTGAACAACATGCAAGAAAAGGTAAAAAATGTAATCAGACAAATTGAAATTCTAAGAAAGAACAAAAAGGAAATGCTAGAAATAAAAAACAAGCAAACAACAGAAATGGAGAATGCCTTTGATGTGATCACCAATAGGCTGGATACAACTGAGAAAAGAATCACTGAGCTTGATGATATGTCAGTAGGAACTTCCCCAACTATAAAGCAAAGAAAAACAACAACAACAGTAAAAGACCAGGTACTGTGGCTCATGCCTGCAATCCCAGCACTTTGGGAGGCCAAGGTGGGTGGATCACTTCAGACCAGGAGCTTGAGACCAGCCTAGCCAACATGGCAAAACCCCACCTCTACCAAAAATACAAAAATTAGTTGGGCATGGTGACACATGCCTGTAATCCCAGCTACTTGGGAGGCTGAGGCACAAGAATTGCTTGAACCCAGGAGGCGGAGGTTGCAATGAGCTGAGATCACACTACTGCACTCCAGCCTGGGCAAGAGAGGGAAACTGTCTCAAAAGAGAAGGAAGGAGGGAGGGAGGAGGGAGGGAGAGAGGAAGAAAGAAGGAAGGAAGGAAGGAAGGAAGGAAGGAAGGAAGGAAGGAAGGAAGGAAGGAAGGAAGGAAAAGAAAAGAAGAAAGAAAGAAAGGAAGGAAGGTAAAAAAAAATCCAAGGACTATAGACAATTTCAAAGGTGTAACATACACATAATGAGACTATCAGAAGAAGTAGAAAAAGAAAAAAGAACAGTGGAAATATTTGAAGTAATCATGGCTGAATATTTTCCAAAATTAAAGACAGACACCAATCCACAGTTCCAGAAAGCTCAGAAAACACTAAGCAGGATAAACTATACCTAGGTTTATCAAATAAACTATACCTAGGCATACCATATTCTTGCTCCAAATAACAAACATGCATGAAAGAATGAAGCAAATAACAAAGAATGAAACCAGAAAGGGAAAAA